TAAGGAAGTTACTTACCGCAGTAAAGGAACTTAGATAAATTACGTGAAGTAACCAGAGAAGATTATTCCCGGTGACAATGCCAAATATGATTTTAGGCGAAATATATTCAAACTTAGCATTAACTCATTTTTTTATTTTCTGGCAGTTTCTTACTTTCTATTGTAAAGTTCCTATATAATAATAAAAATAAATATTAAAGTATAAATAAAAATATATATTCAAGATCTAAAAATATAATCAAATTTGCAATCAAAAATAATATATTGTGATATTGAATATATTGCATTTATTTGTTTAGTAAAACGTCTATTTTTCATATTATTTAAATTTATAATTAATAAATATCACATGATTTATACAATAGATCTAAATATATATTATAAATGGGACCAATAGACTTCTGGTCTATTGGTTCTTTACATAGCCAACCCTGCTTTGAGCATTAAACACTTCCCCTCTGCGAAAAAATAAATTTGCCATTTAAAAAAAATTTCACATTAATGCGTTTTTCTTTATTTAATAAAAATAAAATCTTCGTAGCTTATGTCGTCTGTCTAATCGAAAAATAAATTTACCATTTCATTCGTTTCATTTACGAATTTAAATTCCCTCTATGTACTCATTTTCCTTGGCTTGTAAACTTTATGAGAGAAAAATCCCACATCGACAACATATTAAAAACAAACCGAAGCGAATACAAGAATAAATAAACCGGTTGATTATTATGTTGCAAATGAAATCAATGAAATCGTAAAACATAAAAAGCATATTATAAATCTTGTCTTTCTCACTCAAATTCTGTGAAAAAACTTTGAAAAATGGTCCACGATGGCACCTACTGGAACAGCACAGACCACCTCATTTTTTTTCGAATAAACATCCCGTTTTCGTAAGAATTAATTATTTGTCCAAAATGTGCTAACATTCCTAGTAAGAACCCTTTACAACTACATCAAAACCAGTTACATAATGAAATATGACACCCTAGACAGTAAAGCAAACCAAATCATTTACGTGAAGCGAATTTCGTTGGAACCTACAGAAAAAAGACACTTGTCTGAGAAACACGTGATTAAATTTTGTACAATAATGAAATGATTAAATTAGTTAGATCCGAATCAATGTTCACGAAGTAAAAAAAAAGGACAAGATTTGTACCCGACGCGGGACTCGAACCCGCAATCCCCAGATTGCCTGAGAGAATTTTATATCCTTAGAAGTCTGGTGCGTTATCCGATTACGCCAGCCGGGCTATTCTTTGGTTAATTCGTTAAATAAAATTATTAAGACTTTAAAAGTGATATAAAAAAATTTTTTTTTTTATTTGTAGACCAAGTTTGAGTGATATTTAAAAATCTGGTGCAACAATATTTTTGATCTTGATTTCAAAAAAAAATTTTGTATCCTTTTTTTTTTTTAACTGATATATAGCACTTTTACTTATTGAAATCATAGAAATAGAATAGTACAGAACTTTTAGTTCATAAAAAACACCCCAAAATGCTCGTTCTTTTTGAAACAGCAGCTGGTTACGCGCTGTTCAAAGTATTAAATGAGGATAAATTAGAAGAACCAGATGAGCTATGGAAAGAATTTGAAACTCCAGAAGCAGCTAAAAATATGTACGTATTAAAAAGGTAAAAATTTTTTTTTATGAATGTATAGCTTTTATTGATATATAATTATTTTAGCGTAAAACTTGTGGGTTTTCAAAAGTTTGAAAACATGAATGAAGCGGTGCTCTCAGTTAGTGATCTTTTGGAAGGAAAGCTTTCAAAAGATTTGAAAAATTTTTTGAAAGAGTCATTTGATAATATGGAGTTATCAAGTGAACAACTTGCTGTTATTGATCCGAAGATTGGTAGGATTTAAATTATTTAAAATAAAAAAAAGAGAGTAATGATGGTCATTACATGTTATTTTATATTGAATATTTTCAATACGTATATATAAGATTTTTGATTCTATATAATAATTACCTTATAAGTTGTTGTATGATAATCTGTAGGTACCACCATCAGTAAAAAGTTTGGTATTCAAGTTGTGTCTGACAAAATCATTATGGAATTGTATCGAGGAATTAAGCAACAGCTTGACGTGTTAATGACCGGCATTAAATTGGATGATATAAATCAGATGGCATTGGGTCTTTCTCATTCCTTGTCTCGCCACAAGTTGAAATTCTCACCAGATAAGGTGGATAATATGATCATCCAAGCGATCGGTTTGTTGGATGATTTGGACAAAGAATTAAACACTTACGCGATGAGAGTTAAAGAATGGTATGGCTGGCATTTTCCAGAAATGTCAAAAATTGTGGTTGATAATTTGGCATATGCAAAAATAATTAAGGCTATGGGTATGTAAATTTTCATATTAAAAACGATTATTAAATTGACAAAAATATATAGACATATATTGATTAATTACAATAATAGGTTTTAGAACCAATGCACAGACAACAGACCTTTCGGAAATACTTCCGGAAGATTTGGAAAAGGAATTGAAAGAAGCAGCCGAGATATCTATGGGATCTGAAATTGCAAGTGAAGATATTGATAATATTGTAATGGGATGTGAACAAATCATCAGCTTAACTCAATACCGTGCAGAACTTTATGAGTATCTTAAAAATCGAATGTTGGCAATCGCACCAAATTTAACTACTCTAGTAGGCGAATTGGTTGGAGCCAGATTGATTGCACACTCAGGAAGTTTAATTAATCTTGCCAAGCATCCAGCTAGCACTGTTCAGATTTTAGGTGCAGAAAAAGCTCTTTTTAGAGCTTTGAAAACCAAAAATCCTACACCCAAATATGGTTTAATTTATCACGCTAGTTTGGTTGGCCAAGCATCTCCCAAAAATAAAGGCAAGGTACGTAAATGAAGTCCGTCATAATTTGTAATATTTTAAAAATTTACTATAAGTAGTGTAAATCACTTTAATTATATAATTGAATACAACAGGTAGCTAGAATACTTGCCACAAAATCTTCTCTCGCGACTCGTTTCGATGCTTTATCTGAAGACAAAGATATACAGGCAGAAATGGGTCATTCGAACCGGAAATACGTTGAATCAAGAATAAGATCATTAGAAGGACGTAACGGTGGTACTGGGACAAATATAGATAAGAATAAAGGAAAAAAACAAAAGAAATTTGAACTCATTCCGTAAGTTTTTTCACGCATTTTATCTCGACGCGACGTTTTCCCTCTTTAATAATGTCGATCTTCAAACAATATCAGGGCTACGACTTCATACAATCCATCCGCCGATGTAGCAGGCACTAGTCAATCAGTTGGGACCAATACTGCTGGTATAAAACGTAAAGCCGAAGAAATGGCACTAACAGAAGAAGAAAGTGACGAAGATTCTACTGAAGAAGAGTCTGAGCAAGATGATAGTACTAAATCTAAAAAATCAAAGGATAAAAATAAAAAAGTAAAAAAGCAAAGTCATTCTATTAAAGCCAGTGTTACCGGCACAAAAGGTAAAGCTAAAGAAATAGCTCCTACAGATGAGGAGGAAAGTGAAGAGTCCACTGAAGAAGAGTCTGATCAAGATGACAGCATTAAATTAAAAGATAAAATTAAGAAAGAAAAGATTCAGAGTCAATCGGCAGGAACCAGTACCGTTGGTACAGAACGTAAAGTCAAAGAAAGTGAGGAGGAAGAGTCTTCCGAAGAAGATTCAGAACAGGATGACAGTATTAAATCTAGTAAATCAAAGGGTAAAAGTAAAGATATAAAGAAGTCGGCCGGAACAAGTACCACTGGTTCAGAACGCAAAATCAAAAAAGAAGTGGTGTCTTCTGAAGGAAAGAAAGGAAAGAAAGCAAAGAAGCTGAGTCAATCCGCTAAAGCAAGTACATCTGGCACAAAACGTAAAGCTGAAGTAGTAGTTTCTACAGATGAGGAAGAAAGTGAGGAAGAGTCTACTGAAGAAGAGTCTGTGAAGACTAAATCTAAGAAATCAAAGGATAAAAGTAAGAAACCAAAGAAGCAAAAAAAGGAAGTTAAGCAAGAAAAGAAACAACCTTCGAAAGAGGTAAAAGTTAAGGATAGTAAGAAGGACAAATCTCAAAAATCAAAAGATAAAGATAAAAAAGCAAAGAAACAAAAGAAAGAAGTTGAGCAGGAAAAGAAACAACCTTCGAAAAAGGTAAAGGAAGAAAGTAAGGATGATAAGAAAAAGGTTAAAAATGAAAAGAAAAAAGAGAAATCCTCTAAAAAGAAGAAACTCGAATAATTATTAATTTATTTCATTCCGAAGAATGTACAGAGAATTTTCATCATAATATTATTAATAAACCCAATGATAATTTTCCAGAAGATTAATTTGTTTTCAGCAACAACTCTGATCATATTCTCGTATATGTAAATTAGCGCAGGTCAGACTTTTGCCAAATGTTATTGATAAATAGCATGAATCAATTCTATTGTAAATCCAAGTTTTATTAGTGAACTTTTTTATAAAACCCAATTTATAAATAGTTAATTTTTCAAAAATTATTTAATATTAATACAGTATATTATTATAACATGAAAATAAAAAAATATCGGTCAAATAGATTTCCATGAGATGATAAATAATTAATATAAATATCAATTAATCTTTAGAAAGTTTTCATAGTTTTTTTTTCAGTTAATAGATTTTAACTGTATACAGAAATATTAAATAAAAAATTTAATTATTTTAATTATTTGCAGAATTTGCAGTATAAAATAAAAGAAAAAAATTTACTTTATATTTAAATGATTTTTTTAATAACTTTTTAATAAAAAATATTAACTTAAAGAATCTTTATAAAATTTTAAAATTTCTTATTAAAATTATAAATATAGAAATTTTTTAATTTTAACTTTAAAATGATTTACTTATAAATAAATAAGATAAATATATTTTATAAAGTTTTTTTAATAATATAAAATTAAATAAAATTTAAAATACTTTATTAAAAAATATTTAAAAAGTCACTAATTAATATAAAAATTTTTTTTTGAATTTTATTTAAAAACATTATAAATTTTATTATATAAATATTATTTTTTTTTTTAATACATTTAAATTAACTTTAATTAACAAGTAAAATTCCTTTTAAATTTGAAAGAAAAATCATTAAAAGAATAATTTAATATTAAATTTATTTTTTCTATTCTAATAAACTAAAATTATTCAAATTAAATTAATAATTTTGAGAAATTGATTAAAAATCAATTATATATTATATAAAAATGGTTAAACTAATTTTAATAATTAATTTATTTATATTTTATAAAAAGAAAATTTTATATTTATTTAAATATTATTTTAGATTTGACAAAAAAAATAAAATTATAAATTCTTTTATTATTCAAATTTTTTCTTTATTAATATTTATAATAAAAGAAGCTGATATTATAATTTATGATTTTGCTAATCATTTTATAACTAAAATAAGACTTATAATAAGATTATATTTTTTCATTTAATTATAAAATAAGTCATAATTAAAGATACTAACTATACTATCTCTTAGATTGTAGGATTTCATAAGCAAATTTGTCTGCTTATCTACTATAAATTCTCTTTTGATTTACTTTTATAAATAATTAATATTTTAAAATTTTTTTTTAAATTAAGTTTTACCTTTTAATTATATAATAAAAAATTTTAAAATTTAATGTTATTTAAAAGTTAAAAATTTGTAATTTTTAAAAAAAATTATTTTAAAAAATTTTATGATTAATCTATGATAAACTTTTTAGAATTTACTTTTAATTATATTAACTATAATAGAATATTATAAAATTATTTATAAAGAAAAACTTTTATTATTATTATTTTTATAATTTATTAAGAAATTTTATGATTTTAATTAATAATAAAGTGATTTAATTAATATGCAAACATATAATTTTTAAATAATTTTTAAAAATTTATTATAATAAATTTTTGAAACTTAATTTTAAAATTAAATTATTTTAAAATCTTTTAAAAATACTTAAAATCTTTGTTAATAAAGTTGATAAAATATATATTAAACTATATTTATAATATTACTAAAATTAAAATTTAATATTTTATAAAGAAATTAACACATATTTTTTAATTTTATAAGCAAATTTGTCTGCTATTATTTAATTTTGATAAAAACTGATATAAAATCTTATTTAAATCTTATTTTATAATAATTTGTTTTTTATGATATTTTTGTATATAATAATATTATAAAGCTTAATTTAAAATTTATTATATTATTATTAAATAAAAGATTTTATTAATAACTTTATTTTTTAATAATAATAGTTTTTATTAAATTTTAATTATAAATTTTAAGTAAAATTTTATAAAAAATATATTATTATTTATTATAAATTTATTATTTTAATATAAATATTTTATATAATTTAAGATTTATTATTTTAATTAATTTTTATATTTAAATATTTTTATTCAATGCATTATATGTTATATATATATTATTTATAATATTGCTAATTTTAATAAACCTACCTTAATTTATACTAACTCTAATTTCAAATTATAAACAAACTAATCTTAACTTACTTAATCCTAATATCATGTTATAAGATAGGTACAATTATAATAGATTTCATATTAAATTTTGGGGGTATTAACAATATAAAAAAAAATTTGTGATTATAAATTTTTTTAGATATTTCATAGCTATATTTTAAATCAGATAAATCAAATTAGCTTATTGATATTACATATAAAAATTAAGTATGATTGATGATTTTCAAGAGTATAATAAATATTTTATTTTTTTGATTACCTTTTTAATTATCTTTAAATTGATTTTCATAAAAAAATAAATTACAAATATTTACTTGAAAAACTTCAAATACATGAATATTATGTTAAAGTATTAAGTTTAATCTTAATTATTTGTATTTGTAAAGCAAAAATTCAATTAAATCATTTATATAATGAAAGGTTTTTTTGAAAGGCATTTAAATAACTTAAGATATAAAAAAAAATATTCAATAATTTATTTTAACATTTTTTCTGACTAAAAAATAAAAAAACTAAAATAAATAGTGTTATTACTAAAAGTTTTCAGCATTTTTGTTTAGAATATACAAATAAAGAAATTAAAAAGTTTATTTTACATATATTATCTCTTTTTAGTAATGAAAAAAAAATTAAAGTAATTGCTAAAATAACTTTAGCTAAATAAATTTTCTAAAAATTTTGAATATTTAAATTGAAAAATGCTCAAAAAGCAAAATCTGAATGTTTAATTAATAATGACAGTAAAAAAAATTAATTTTAATTTTAATTTTAATTAAATTAAATTATAACATGATTTTTTATAATAATAGATCAATGTGTATATTTTTTAAATTATGAAATAATTATTATAGGTAAAATAATTAATTCAATTGTTTTTATGTATAATTCAATTTAAAATTAAATAATAGAATCAAATAGCTAATACTAAATTCCAAAAATCTTAAATTTATATACTAATTAAAATAATCCATTTCGTTATTTTTTAAAATGTTGAATGTTAGCCGAAATATAGTCTAATTTCTGCTGATCATTACCAGAATAATCAGCATTTTTAGTTATAGCCGATGCACAAATAAACATTTGATATTAACAATTAGTAATTATTTGATAAATCACTAAGTAAAATAATACAATTCGTCACATTTAAAGTGCTGAAGGTTGGCCAAAATATAGTCTAATTCTGCTAATTATTACCAAAAAATCAGCACTTTGAATAAATAGAAAATCAGTTATCAATCAGCATTTATATTAAAAATTGATCAAAATTCAGCATAAATCAGCTTAAACTCAGTCAACAATCAGTAAAAATCAATTAAAAAATCAAAACTAATAAAACTTATTTTAGTTTATTTATGATTTATAATTTTATTTTATTATTACATAATAAATTACTCAAAAAGAATATATATTGTATTATATTATATTCAAAAAACATATATTTAATTTTTTAAAGATAAGAAAAAATAAAGAAAATAGTTAGAAACCCCACTAAAAATTACCTTTAAAAGGATTACCTTAATGTATTCCTAAAAAAAGTAAAGAAAAAATAAAGAAACCAATTAAGAACCCACCAAAATACCACTTTTGAAAGGCTTACCTTAATGTATTTCTAAAAAAAGTAAAAAAAAATAAAGAAAACATAAGAAAACCATCAAAATACCACTTCTGTAAGGCTTATCTTAGTTTCAAAATGAGAGATTTCCTAAAAAAAACAAGAAAAAAGAGTTAAAAACTATCTATAAGTCATTTCTGATTTGTTTATCTTAATTCTCAAAATAAGAATTTCCTAAAAAAATAAGAAAAAAAAAAAGGAAAATACCATAAAAGTCACTTTTGATTTGCTTATCTTAATTCCCAAAATAAGAATTTTTTAAAAAAACAAGAAAAAAGTTAAATTTCCACCTAAAAATCATTTTACTAGAAAAAAAAATTTATTCATATTATTCTGAAAGTTTATCAGTTTTATATTTAAACTGAATTAAAATTTTGATTAATCCAAAATTTAGATATTATTTTTTATTTATTATAAATACTACAAATAGATGATTTTGCATCATCTGATTAAAATGTATAGAAAACTTTTGAAAAGAATAATAATTTAATCATTCCTTAAGAAAAATATCAAAATCGTTCAAAAGAAACAATAGTTTAATCATTCCTTAAGAACAATGATGAATCGTCCTTTAAGGATGATTTCTATTATTTCCTTGAAATGATATTTTGTTCCTTTGGTGATGATTTCTATCGTCTCTTTAGGAATAATATTTCGTTCCTTTAAGGATGATTTCTATCGTCTTTTTTGGGATGAATGTATCGTTCCTTTAGGATGATATTTCATTTCTTTAGGGACAATTTCTATCATCTCTTTTAGAGACGATTATATTATTCCTTTTGGACAATTTCCATCATCTCTTTAAAAATGATATTTCGTTCCTTTAGGGATGATTTCTATTGTCTCTTTAGAAATAATATTTCGTTCCTTTGAAGACAATTTCTATTGTCTCTTTGAAAAATGATATTTCATTCCTTTAGGGACAATTTCTATCGTCTCTTTTGGAAACAATTGTATCATTCGTTTAGGAACAATTACTCTCAGAATGTTTTTATAATTTTCGCAAAAATTAGCTCAAATGATTTTGACCAGTGAGATACAGTTAATTTGTTGTTAAATCTTGAGTCTAACTGAAATTTTGCTGAATATTATAACCGAAAGGTCTTAATGCCAAAAT